TGGTGTGACCACATCTGCCCGTCTGGATGTCATGGGTTTCAAGTGTAGAAGCAGTCTGTAACTAAAACTGTCCTATGTAAGAGTGTGGCTCTTTGAGGAAATGTTTGTGTAGGCCCTTAAAGTGACACTGTCCTTCTGGTGTTTTTGCACTATTTTGGAAAAACCCCATTGGTGACACATTAACTTGCATGTTGGTGGTTAGGGGACTGTGGAAATAGATATATACTTACCTAAAAGTTAACTTTAGGTTAACAGTAAATTTTCAGTTCTTTTTAGTTCCAATGAATGAAGCAACCAGAAGCTCTAGCATAAAGAGGTCTTTGAAAATGACCTCACAATTATGGAACCCTCTTCTTGAGTATGCAAGACACATCACTCAAAGTTCTGCCTTTTGCTACAATTTCCCAATAGATGATTTCCCACTTCATCTAATAATAACAACCTCTCCATAGGAATTTCAATGACTTCCAATAAGATTACATGTCTAGCACAGTAAGAAGTAAAATATATACAGATAAGATATTTCAATGTTGGTTTAGAGAATCACTCATTAAGCTCTGAATCTTGTCAAACAGTATGGGAGGTGGGTTCTGCCCTACACATTCAGATATCCTTCCAGATTATTATCTATAAAATTAGTAACAGGAATTGAAATGAAATGGTGAAAAGTATGTAAAAATATGAAAATGATAAAATATGACACGATTTTATTGCACATAATTAAAACGTCCTACGTAAAATTAATAACTTAGCACACAATTTTGCAGGGACTCATTTTCAGGTATATGCGCAAAACATTGAAATTTATTTATCTCTGTCACCTTTGATCCCTTCAGACCCTTACAAAGTACAGCTAGTTCGACCAGCCCACTGTGAAGTGTTTGATGATGTTTCAACCCTGATTAGATTCCACAGAAACACAACACATTTTTATAATGCATATGTTCACATATATTGGAATTGCAAGATAGAACTGATGAATAAATATATTTTATAAACTTTTGTAATAATGCAATCATAATACACCAAGCCATGACTGATCATCACAATAGATTTAATATCACTCTATAAAACATAGACTATACCACATGTTAGAATATAGATTTTTCTTCCTGTAGTCTAGCCTACATTGAAATGAATTAAATAGTAGATTCCCAATGTTGTTATTACTTTGTCATAATGGTATATATTTTAAGTTTACTTAGCAAGTGTTTGACATGCCTTAATCCCCTCTGTCCTAATAGTCAGTATTGGCTACTTTCCATATGAACAGATAGTTCATAGTTCAGTTGTTTGTGCATCAGCCATTATGGTACATTTTTTTCTCGACTGTCCCCTGGTTCCCACCATGTCTACTGATCTGCTTCATCACAGTTTGAGTCTTTATTTTTCCTCTATGTTTTCGTCCATCTTATTTTGTCCTGCTGTGAGGCTGTAGCTACCTCATATTAAAGATTCATCCTGAGATAGAGCTGCAGTGCACTCTGCATAGGGCAACTTGATGCTGTCTAAATCTAGTTACTCCAATACCAGAAGATCAGTGGCTAGCTTCCTGAATTATCATTAGCATTGTCTCTGTCACTGCTACATGCGATATGCTGACTCTAACTGATTTTGATTACAGTTTCATACCACCTATGTCACCAGATCTCAGCATGTTCCCAGAAATAATTGGATCAGCTATTACTATTGGAATCATAGCTTATATTGTAGCCGTGTCTCTAGGAAAAGTGTATGCCACAAAATATAATTATGTGATCAATGGAAATCAGGTAAATGTATGAGAAATCATATGTATATGTTATTAAAAAAATAGTGAACACTGATCAACAATCTATCATTTGTCTAATCACATTATATAATACATAAAACAGAAGAAATTGGGAATATGAAATAGCATATGACTTTTCTTAAATATTTTTTTTTAAAAGAGCATGTTAAAGTAATGCATATGTATTAGCCAAAGTCGTCTTATACTTATACTTTTTCAAATTATTAACCATTTTTTTTCTGTTTAATTTATATTAAGATCTTAAATAACATTTTAAAAGATTCTAGTGTCAGTCCTAAAAAACACAATGCTATTCATGTCATATGTGCTAATACTACAATTCAACCACTAGGGGTCATGAACAATAACTCTCACTTTCATAAACTTAGTTTAGAGATCATTAGTGGCAAAGCTCAATTTCCAACACTAGTAATAGTATGACTATCAGATTATCTACATTAATTTAGATAATACTGTACTATCTTGTACTATAAAATAATGTCACCACTAGGCGTCATAGAACTAATGACAAGTACACAGCCACAACTTACCAACAGAAGTAAGAGACATTTTAGCAAGGTGGCTGAATTGTAAAAAGTAGAGACAACATTGGAAACTATCCCTATCAGCTGTTAGTATATTATTGCAGTGCAGGATACAGAATGGGGAAGATAACAGTTCCATCCGGTCAAGCTTACCCACAGGCGATCAACTATTCTACTTGCATATAAAGATTTATATTGTTGATATTAATAATATAATATGATTCATTTAACCAGCAAGGAATAAAACATTAATTGGGATAATAAACATAGAGCATACCCTTTTAAAATTTCAAGTGATCTTTGAATTAGTATAAATCAGCTAATGTGATTCAAACAACCTTCCTCTGGGCAACTAATTGCTGAATGAGCAGAAAAAAAGATTAACCTAGTCCATGTATGGGACAGCAAATCCAAAATGATTTTGGAGTCTTCTTTCCATAGAGACTCGCATCTGATGCCAAAATAGCTGATGGAAAAAAAATATCTGACTCGAATTTTGCCAACTTTGGTAAATATCACCATTTAGTGAACAAACCCATTAATTTAAATAACCCTGGAACTGTTTATAACCTGCACCGTTGTTGTCTAATGTATGAGTGATTTACAGTGATAACTAACTCTTTGATACCTGACATGCAAAATCCATACTACAAAAACTGGATAAAAAATATCTCCAACTTTTTTCTTTTTGTTTTCTAACTATTTTATTTCATTGTTGACTTGTAAATGCGCTGTGTTATTCATTACATTCCCAATTGAAGTCCAACTGAAATCCAAATGGAAAAGTTCAGGTAAACATAGCTGATGTGGAGTAATTCTTTAATTTAGCTATAGGCACAGTCTGGTTATTAATTTGCTACTCTTTAGAGATTAGTGAAAAACCAGCCCTGTTGCTGTTTAGCAAATAGACACCATGTGGACAATGTCAGTACAAAGCTCTAAATGTCACAATATTGTTACATTTTCTAGATGAAAACTAAGTGTCTAAATATCATAATGATATAAAAGGCAGATAACCTCAAATTGTTTGCTTTTGATTACTAGGAATTTATTGCATTTGGGATCAGTAATATATTTGGTGGAGTCTTTTCCTGTGTTTGTGCCACAACTGCTCTGTCTCGTACCGCTGTCCAGGAGAGCACCGGTGGGAAAACTCAGGTGAGATATTATGCTCACTCTCATGGTCATACAAGTTTGTTTTGCTGTTGAAAATTGTATTTGTTTGTTTCATTTATCTAACCGTTCTTATACAGCACTCTCACCCAAACACTTTACAACAAGCATGTCAAACTTGCGGCCCATTGCCTCATATGACCCACACTAAATATGTCTGCGGCCTGCCTGTCCTGGGGTCGCTTTGTGCTATGGCTGCAACCAGCTGCAAGACTCTTTCCTGTCTTATCCTTGTCTTCTCTCCCACGGCCACAAAAGAGCAGAGTGGGTCTGTCTGCAATGCAGGTCAGACACTCCCCCTTCCCTTCTGCTCGCAGTGCCAGGGGAGCATCTAGCCTGCTTGAGCATAGCAGGGTTGGAACTGGAGGATGGGCAGCTCATCTTAAGGTGAGCGAAGAGGGATCTGGGGGACCTTCCTGTGTAGTGTGTTCAATTGGGGAGAAGGGCCAGTGTATTAATTTGACGGATGGAGGGGCCAGTGTATTAATTTGACGGATGGAGGGGGCAGTGTATTATTGTGAGTTATAGGGCAGTGTATTAGAGCTGTGGGAGGGGGCAGTGTGTCAAATTGGGGGAAGGGCAGTGTATTTGAGGGAGCGAGGGCAGTGTATTTAATTAGTGGTGGGAGGGAGGCAGTGTATTAGAATAAGGGGCAGTGTTTTATAGTGGAGGGAGGGGGTTCAGTGTATTGGATTTAGGGGAAATGTGTTAGAATGGGGGAGGGCCAGTGTATTAGATTGGGTCTGCATGGAGACGTTGATTGTGTCGCTATAATGAGTACTGCTTAACAATCAATATAATGTACACAATGAGTATGATGAAGATACACTCTACTGGTAGAAGCAATGCTTTACAGTCACTATGTATTGAATGCGAAGAGGTTGATAAGAAGTAAGAAGTCAGAAGGGACCTTTGGTTAGGTAGACCTGCAGAGAAGGGAAGGTGGTGTTGAAGGCAAGAGTGTTTACTGTAGAAGATAATTGAACTAGTTGTGTCCTACTCAACTCAATTTGAATTTTGCATATAGGGGAAAGGAAGAAGCCTGGGTAGTAACCATATTGAGGGCCCAGGAAATGTATACAATTGGATATGTTGAGCTGTGCGAGACAAGCAATGGATTGAGTTCTCAGGGGCCAATAGGGAAAATTAACGGATTTTTTAGGAAATGCAGAGTTGTAGGGTTTGGGTAAGAGATGTAGAGTTGAGGTCACAGAGTATGGTTTGGAGTGTGGATGAGAGTAAGTGAGGAGAGGTGGAGAGAAGCAAGGTTATGGAAGGATTTGAACACAAGGATGACATTTGAAGAGAGACCACTGGCATATTGGAATTCTGTTGAGCTTTTGAAAAAGGGTTCAGGTATGAGCAGTACAGGTCAGCTTAGGCAGCAGCATTTTGGATTTCTTGAAGAGGATTAATGGATAGTGATGTCCTGAACTGTTCGCCGAACGGTTCGCAAACGGTTTGCCACGGACTGATCATTGAGTAAACTTTGACCCTGTACCTCACAGTCAGCAGACACATTCCAGCCAATCAGCAGCAGACCCTCCCTCCCAGACCCTCCCACCTCCTGGACAGCATCCATTGTGAAGCTGCATTCTTAGTGAGCTGTCCAGGAGGTGGGAGGGTCTGGGAGGGAGGGCCTGCTGCTGATTGGCTGGAATGTGTCTGCTGACTGTGAGGTACAGGGTCAAAGTTTACTCAATGATGAGTCCGTGGTGAACCGTTCGCGGCGAACCGTGGCTAACCGTTCGCAAACCGTTCTGCGAACAGTTCGGGACATCACTATTAATGGAGTGTTTTTGTGGTTTTGGGAGAGAACTACACTTTTTGTTTCCACGATCTAGCAGCTCATTGTGTGCTTTAATTATATCCCAGAAACCTATATCATTACATAACATTTATGGCAGACTGTTTCTGGTAAAATAATATTATCCCATGAATAAGACTGCATTCTTGTTTCAGTGTATTACGTTGCTTGATGTTTTAGAACAGTTTTTTCTCCAGTAAATTTATGATGATCACGTCCATCTGTCAGCATTCTCACATGTGTCTACCACCATGTTTTGTTTACTTTGTGAAAATGCTGATTTCAATGAGATGATCATGACTGTACATTTCTGAGAATCACCAGAATGTAACTTGTCCAAAGGAAAAAAAAAATATTGTATAAGTACAGGTGTACAATATTTTAGCATTTTATATTTAGCTAAATATATATATATATATATATATATATATATATTTGTAGAATTTCAACTAGTTCTTTTTTTTTTCCAGATTGCTGGTTTGATTTCGGCTGTAACTATCATGATTGCTATGTTGTCACTCGGCAGATACCTTGAACCACTGCAGAAGGTACACAACAGAACATCTCTCTCTACATCATGTTTTTCCTTCTCTCTCTTAAAACCATTATCATAAGTTTATATATAGGGTACAAAATGGTGACGCAAGTACTATAGTATAATTGTTCCACTGAGGAGGAGACTGTATAATGAACCAAGAAACAGAAGGACTAATTAAGGTTCCTTTTAAAATAGATTCAGCACTAGATCATTCATGATGGTCTGATTGAATACACTTTTCTGATAAAGATATGCCAGGAGTCGGAATGCCAAGATAACAGTATTAAGAGACGGCTGATTTAAAGGAACACTAAAGAGTTAGGAATACCCAGATTTTTGCTACAAGATGTAAATAGAATAATAAATGTATAAATATGCATGGTCATAGTATGACAATCATTAAATGGTTGTATGTACATATGGTTAGCTCTATTAATTGATTTATGATTCTAAAAGGAACCCTATAGTGTTGGGAAAACATGTACTTCTAGTGTTCAACTAACTATTTAGATGTTGGCCTCACCCTGTTTGAATTAAAAAGTTGAAGTACTCAACTTTTAGCCCACGCCCCATGCAGCTGACCTACCTTCCTAGCTTAGATCTCCAATCCAGTGCTTCTCCATGTGGAGGCTAGTGCACATGCACTGCAAATCACAGTGCTGTGTCTATCAATATCTCATTATAGAGATGCGCTGATTCAGTGCAGCTCTGGGGGGGAGCATTCTGTGTCTCCATGCAAAGTGTGGAGAGACTGAACATTGGTCCTGCAATCTTTGCAGGACAGAACCCAGGTAGCATCTAGTGCCTGTTCAAATGACAGTCAGTAGAGGTAGACTATGGCAGTAGTGTAAAGTAAAGGCAACATTTACACTGCTCAGCTTGCAGGGACAGGCTATTTGATCCCAGAATCACTACATTAAGCTGGTTGCAGTGGTAACATTTTGCTATAGATTCAAGTTCACATGTTCAAGTTCACATGTTTCATAAATATCTAAGAATATGTCTTTCATTGCAGTCAGTGCTGGCTGGTATTCTCGTAGCCAATCTTAAGGGCATGTTCCTGCAAACACTGGATATTCCACGGTTATGGAGACAAAACAAGTGGGATTTAGTAAGTACATGATCAAGTCAAGTTGACACTTTTTGCTGTGATTCCACACACATCTAGCTATACATATTTATAGTTAATATATGGAATAATTACTGTTTTATTTATGATGGGGAAAATGTAAAATATAAATGGACTGGATGACTATATTGAGATATTTGCCAAAGTAGATCAGGTTCTTTCAGATACTTGTTGGGGTTTATTCACCGAATTGTAGTAAAACTAAAATGGAATCACAAAATATGGAGAAAATACTGATTTGGAAACATTTTCTGCTCTAGTCACAGTTTGTCTATATTAGCCTGTTTGTAATGTTGTTCAATTCTATAAACTCTGTGTTTAGTGAACAAACTACATTGTTTCTAATTCAATATGCATAAGCCTTATTGTTTAATTTCTAACATAAATGAAAACTTTCCAAAAAGAGTTCAGTTTGTAAAGTGTTCTTTGTCTACTGAAGACACTATACATTTTGATTATAAAAATAAGAATAAAAAAATATAAATATATATATAATGTAATTGTTACACATAACATATTTAAAGTACAGAATATAGCAAAGAGTAGGGTTATAAAGGATGACATGAATTTCTAAGCTGTATACTCCCACCCTATCATCATATTTCATATTACAGTATTTGTTGTTAAAGTTTCAGAAAGTTTTGTAAAGTTTCATTTTTGATTGTAATAATTTTGCATTGTTGTGGTAACTTATGGCAATCACTAGTACTGTGTGTGTACAGCCATGCTACAGAAATAAATGCATAATAACTGAGGCTTTTACTTAAGGATAAAGACAGAATTCTATATTTTCACAGTAACGTTAAACTGTATTTTTTTCACTTTCATTCCAGGCCATCTGGATTTTCTCATTTGTTGCATCATTCCTTCTGGATCTTGATTTAGGATTGCCCATCAGTTTAGGATTTGGATTGTTCACTGTGCTGCTACGTATCCAGTTGTGAGTATAAACACTTTTTTCATGGACATCACATTTTCGAGCATTAAATTCAAATCTGTCAGATCTGCTGAAGTTTTCTAAAGTAGTTGGTATAGAGTTCTCATTCTAGATTCTTAATCTTGCTCAGATCTCTATTCCCCACTTGGTGTCTCCTGTAACAAGGCGTATGACATTCTCTACAAGCTGTTTCTTGGCATCTGGTCACAGCACTGGGATCCATATCACAAATGAAAACAAGTTTGTAGATAATCCAACACATCATAAGGTTTATCAATGCATTTTATCATCTGTCTCGCAATAGAAGTCACTACGACGAATTCATTCATAAATTTAAAAAAATAAATTAAAATAATTCTCGATTTAAAAAATTATTATTTATGGAATTATTCTTCATAGTGACTTCTATTGCAAGACTGCTATGTCTAAAAACAGTTGCAGAATATGAGCAACATCTATCAATCATGTGCTCTAATCTCGAAAAATCTATTTGCAAAAAATGATGTAAGTGTGATATAGACCGTCATCGACCCTTTACACCAGAAATTGTCAACCTTTTTTAACCTAAGGTAAACATCAAAAGGATTAAATTTTACTAGACATGCTTATTTTGTATGCAGATTTACCAGGTATGAGGTATGTATCCTTCCAGCTAAATTGGCTTACTAGTTCAAATTTTAGGCCAAATGGGGATCACAATTTGAATACCGATAAATATTAGAGAAACACATACATTAGGACTGCATTCAGCCTGTTACATCACTGAAGTCATTGTGTTTGTTGCACCCTTTGAAGTGACTTCAGGCACACTGGTTAAACGAAACATTGCTTTATACAATAAAAGTTCTACTACTTTTATTGAATTATTGTGTAATGATCACTAATTTTAAAGGGAGCCTAACCCATAAATAAATTGACACATTTTACCTGTTTTGTGATTTACCACCTCAAATATTCACTTATTCAAGTTTGGTTGATTTGTTGACAGTTTGCATCTTAATCATTTATCTAAAGAGCAACATATGCTAAAATTTCTACAAATTTGATCAAAAACAAATTTAATTTGGTTATGTCTTAAAACTTTACTTTTATTCATCATACAATGTTAAAAATCCACAAATGAGTAATAAGAAAAATATATAAAATTTTAAAGTTCAATGAGTAATCAATACCATCAATGTCCCAAAACAGGCAGCTTGTAGCACTAAATGTCTAACAACGCAAGCTACAAACTTAGCTAATTTCCCAAATCTAACAAGAAAAGATGTAATACCAGTCTCATACATATGGGGTCACTGCTGTCATTGGGTTTCCCAGTAAATTCTCCCAAAAATATGAAGCAAATGAAAGTTTAAAGATAGATGGGTAGTAACAATAGAACAGTGACAGTAGGGGTCTCCTTTGTTAAATAAACACGAATGAAAGAGTCTTATATAAAGTATTGCAGATCAGTCAGAAATAAAGTCACAGACATGAAAGGCTGTTCCCTATTATTCGTAATCTAAATCAATTGCTACCTAATCCCTAAATATTTGCCAGTCAGTCATTATCTCATAGTGAAGGAATAGTACAGAGTAAACAGTAAAAATGGAAAGTAGCTGAACTAATTTTGGTCAAGAACAGAATAACAGCACTCAATGCGTGTTTCACCTGTGGCTCCATGAACATTAGAATCAACTTCAGAATTCATATTGCACTTAAAAGGAATGTAAGGCAGGTGCAGTAACAGTGTTTTTGTAAGGAAATTGCAATTTTAGATTTGTATAAATATATTTCAAGTTATGCTACAAGCAGGACAATATAATGTAATTGTAAATTAAACTTCCTCGTCTTTTAAAGCCCATCGTGTAGTGCTCTTGGCAACGTTCCTGGTACAGAACTTTACAAAGATCCCAGGAAATACAAATGTGTGAGTATGCATTTATATCAGAATGTTTAATTCATTTATAGCCATTCCAAGCTAATGTTTAAAAGTGCGCTGCCTCTAAATGAGCATTAACATACAAAGAAGCAAGCGCTCCAACAATGGTTTCAGGATGCAATACCAGATAAAATATTGTTTTATTTTTGTTACAGGCTGTGGAGTCCAGCGGATTTAAAATTATTCGGTTTTCCAGTGGTATCTTCTATGGCAACATTGATAGTTTGAAAAATGGTATAAGCTCTTTAGTGAGTATATACTTTACATAATTTACTATAAAAATAACATGTAATTATTAACATGCATTTCTTGTGATCAATGTTTTGACCTTTCAGA